GGCCCCCTTTTTTTCAGGGCTACGGTAAATCACTCCTCAGCATACTCACACAGGAGCAATGGCACCTTTTATGTTGAATGCCTTTTGTCTAGAGTACATGAATTTAGTTTAGCACAGATGCTTTAAATAATCCTTTCCCAAAGGCTTCCTACTGCTGCTGTGTAACTGGCTTTCAAAGAATAACAATCCAGGTCAGAGAAAAAAAAAGCACCAGTTCACTCTGAAGAGAGCTGACTTCTGCAGAACTAATGAACATCGCTTGTCTCATTAAACTCCCAAAGTCCTTCTGTTGAACATGTAAAAGATGCCACACTTACCCAAGTACAGACTGAAATACCATCATCCTACTCCAAATTAAGCTATCAAGCACTCAGAGTTGCCTTCAGTATCTACTTGAGCTCCCTGTGCATCTCACCAGAAGAGAGGGAGAAGAAATTGCATTTAAACAGTCTCAATTTGTAATAAACTATGCAAGGATACAACAGCAGTTTTAAATATACTTCTATAGAAAGTATATTTAGTTAGTAGGGGTTTTTTTAGTAATAAACTACATATATTAATAGTTTTGTTGCTCATTCAACATCACTCTTCCGAAAGAAGGGGAGGACCACCCCCCCGCCATATGTTTGCCTTAGAAAAAGGTCAGGTATCGTCCCAACAGGAAGTGTTCCTGAAAGTATATTTTCTATTCTTTTCATTAAAGAAGCAAAGCAAAACAAAAAAAAATTCTTGTGATGTATACTCGCATGAGTCTCAGAGAAACAGTTTCTGAAACGAATTATTATTACTTTGACAGAATTCAGGGCAGGAATGGAAACACAGGCGGGAGCAGGGAGAAGAAATGACTCCAGCTGATCCTTCTCATTTGTGATAGAAGTCTGACAACTCTCCGAGCTTATTTCATTACAACAGTGAACAAACAGAACAACTGGGAGAAAACTTGAGTTTCCAAACATCCCTTTTTATTTCTGAATTTTAATAACCAGTCTTTTCTAATGACAGCAGTACAACTAATTTAGAAGGGGTCTGAATATGATACATCATATATAATTTTAAAACAGTTGAATGTCAGAATTGAAAAAGTATGTTGTCTAAAACAGTCAGCATGCTTTTAAAAAAAAACATTTATTTAAACTGATACATGCTGTCCATGAACACATACCCTTTTTTTAGCTATATGTTAAAATTTATATTAAGCCTATGCGGAAATCAACTTTTGCAAAATGCATCATCCAAGGATACGTAAATTTAAGTGTTCACACACTTAGTCACCCACCTACGCCACGCAACATTTAAAAACATACCTTTAGTTAAACTTTTGTAACTTTGTATGCAATTTAGTTTCAGGAATCTCTAGGAAAAAATGAGATTATAAACAAATGGAGTACTTTAAGACAGGCAAACTAGTTTCAGTGTCAGCACTACATACACTCTCTCACTGTCAGACTCTGTATCCCAGTTGAGTCTTTGAGGCATTAGCCTTCTAGCAAGCATAAATAGTGTTGAAACTTAAGTTTCAATAAATCTGTTCCTAGCGCAGACTTACACCGAACACTCAAACATCCCAGTAAAGTCATTCCACAAGTCTCACACTGCTCATTGTTTTATGAAAACTGTTAGATATGCAAATGTGTTTCTTTGAACATAAAATTGTTTCAGTTTTGGTTCAACAAGTTATTACTGATTTTCCAAAAGAAAATTTACATAAACTAACCCTCTTTTTAACTTTTTTTTGGTGAAATGTGAAAAATACACAAGATAATTTAATTTAATGCAAGTCAATTACTGTCAGGAACTCATAAGGCCACTTAATACTGCAAGTTGAAGTTTCATTTAAGATTTTGTAAAGACCCATTTCAGCCAGCCCAATAGGCCCAAAGGTGACTCAAAGACCTTAAAGAGAACAGGAAAGTGTGGTACTGTTTTTAAAGACAGAGAACCAGGACACAAGGTATGTGGTGCTACCCATCTGGTTTCCCTCCACTCCATCCAGTGAGCCAAGAGTGTCGAAAGTGAAGAAAAGGAGTCAAGTCAAACGAAGGCAATTTCCCAAGTTTTTCCCAAATAAAAGGAGGTGGAAGCTAAAGGTTGATTTGTATAAGTGTTTTCTCATATAGTTTCTATTTCAGAGCTATAAATCACTGGAAAAAAGTTTATGCAAAGCAGATAAGTTTTTTTTTCTTATGTAAGGAAAATTTCTTCATGCTACTTAGTCACTGTTCCTTTGATCGGCCTGGGCTTATGCATGCTTTAAGCACAGAAATGACAAGAAGCACAGGCCTTTTGCTTTCACTGCTACAAAAGCTCTCATTTCCAAATGGTAACAGTCATATTAAGCTTTCATTTTACTTCCACTTCTGGACTTCATTATCCCTGAAGTCTTCCTAAAAGCGATGTAAGAGTTTGAGAACTTTCACAGCAACAAATTTAATAGAATTTAAGCATTTCCTCCTTACATTACCTGCTTGACAGCAAGGGGTTTTGGTTGTTTCCTCACCTTTCCCTTTTTTTTTTAAGCACAGAAAAACTCCTCTGACATGACTGAACAAAATTCCAGAAGGAAGAAACAGTTTAGAATTTACTTTGCCTTCCACATTGATATTGAACAGAAGTTCATTTTGTTTGTTGCTGTGAAAATCAAAAACGTAACATGAGAAATACGAGCAGACATACTCATTTGTTGGATTTCTAACTGTATCATGCTTAGGAATCCATATTTAAGCAGCAGAACTCAACTATAAAGTCAGAGGTTATACTCGTAAAGGTTCTTCAAAGCTTGCTGTTTATTTTGGCCTTCAACCTGAATTTGGAATAAGGCATGGTTATTACCCAGTGGTAAAATACTAAATAAATTGTCCAATTCTGAAAGTTGCTGTCTATTTGAAAACTGCCTATTTGAAAATGAATATTTCTGAGGGGGGATACGACAAAAGTCATATGGTATAAGAGAGCACAAATTTTCTAGGAAAGTAAGTTTGCAACTCAATCTACAATATAGTAAAAAAAAGCACAACTGGAAGTGCTGAAAAATTATGAGAATAAAAAAATGTAGGGATTTAAAATTTTATTTAAAATTTTAAATAAAATTTTATTTAATTGAATAAAAAAATCTTAAATACACTTTGGATAAGTTTTCCTTTAGAAGTAAGTAAATTCCAAGAATGCCTTGATTACAAACATGTATTGACTAATTATGTAAATCATTCAATACAAACAGAAGCTGCTGCTGGAGAAGTGGTGTGCTCTGCCTGTTTTCATACAAACTCAGAGGCACTGCAGAAAGTGCGCCACTGATGACACCTCCTCAGCTCACAGCAATGCTTTAAACTGGAAGAGGCACTGCCAACAAAACTGCCACCACTGGCCCCCCAGCAGCACTGCCACTAGCAGCAAGGAGCACGCTGTGGACAGCCGCGCTTGCCCTACCATCTAGAGTTCCCCTCCCAGCGTTACCCCAACAAGCAGCTCAAACATGAGCCCCTAAGCGCAACCATTCCTACCCATGCTACGAACAAGCATGCCATCAGCAAGAGTCCCACAAGCAAGCACCCCACTGGTGCCAGCAGCAGCCCCACCAGCATCCCAGACACATCCCACCAGCAGCAGAAGCCCCACGTGAAGTCCACAGCAGTGGTGCCACCAGCACGAGCTCAGCTGTTGCCAGCTGCACCAGCAACGGCCCCATTGGCAATAGCAGCAAAAGCAACACCAAGAGTCCCACTGGCACAAAAAGCATCGGCAAGAATCCCACCGCTGTGAACCCCAACACACCCACAAGATCTACTAGCACCAGTAAACGCCTCATTGACAACTTGACCTTCACTACCCCAGCCAGTGCCAGTGAGAACTCCCCAGTCCTCAGCGGCACCACCACCACGCATCCTGCGGATCCCCAAACCAGCAGTCCCGCTGCCCCCATCCCACACCTCACCAGCAACACCACTACCAACAGCAAAAGCACAATCAACACAGTGTACAGAAAAGGTACAACAGCTCTATTCTGCCTTCATTGCACTTATCACTTGGTTGTGAGCACAATCAGTATTCCTTTTTTAAAGAAGCCTGAGAATGACGTCTACTACTGAGCGTAATTATGGATACTGTTTTGAACATGCTGTCTTCACTCCATGGATTTTATAGTCCAATTACTTAATAACTAGATTTAAATACCTGGTTTAAATTATATACTTACTGCAATTGCAGCCTTGCTTTATTTCAATCAAATACAATTTTTTTTTTTTTTTTTTTTTTTGAACAGAGGTACCTCTGACTTAGACTGTAATATGACTAATATTAAACTCTGGGATAACCTTCAGAAATTTTTCAGTAGTGCAGCATATGTTACTCATTATCATGAATGATTTAACTTTCAGAGTAGGGAAGACTTAAAGCTTTCAGTGTTGCCTGATTGAAAAAACATGGTCTTTTGCAAAGCTTGTACTTCACACTTCTGCATTTGCTTTCCTTATCACTTTGCTTTCCTTATCACTTCAGCGATACACACACCTCGAACACTTTCAAAATCATGGAATTATTTTCTTAGAATACGTTAGTAAAACTGAAGCAATACCACGCTGTTGACTATGTATGAAACTTCTAAACATTTGTATTACTCTTGAAAAAGAGATATGGGGATTTCTGAGAAGTTTTAACTCCTGTTTTAGTTTGTTGCTCATTTTATATTTCAGGAAAAGACGAGAGTAAGATCATTGACAAAGTCTTAAAATAATGTGACATAGATTTAGTTAACTTATATACTGAAAAACAATAAAATTCTTAAAAACTTCAGGTATGTTTCTGCAGGCACTCACAAACTACTGGGTGGAAAAACGATGGAAGTTCTGATCTAGAAAATATATCAATTCAAAAATACTCTATCACCAAAATTTAAGAAATAAGTTATTCTCAGATTCTTGTAAAGAAGTTGGTGTCCCTTTCTTAGATACACCTGATACTTTTGATTTTACATGTTTATTTTAGGTGAGGTGAAAGTTTCTTACCGCCGAGCAATGTAGTAGAAAACAGGATTGCCAGCTTTCGATGTCCCAGCTTGGTAGAAAATATTTAACGTTTTCAGTGCTTTGAACTCCTCTTTTTCATGTACCTGATGCCTAAAAAGCGGTACATTGATATTAACTTTTCACAAGCAACTTGACAAATAAAATCTCTTTACTTATATCTTTAGACAAAAGTATGAATAAGTTTACACAACTCCGAACCTTTTTAAACTATACAAATTACTGCTTTTTCAGGTTTTCAATTTAATTTTTGATACATAAATTAAAATCTTCTACTCAAAAACATAAAAGGTATTTGTAGAGCCAGCTTTTTAAACTCCACTTCAGAATGAAAGCTAGAATCTTAGCTACTTATAATACCTGACATGCCAAAGTCTGAAAAACCACAAGGCATTTTTCCCTTCACAATAATCTCATTACCTTGTCATAAATTCTTCAAATTTGGAACTAGTGAGATTTAAACTGGACCAATGGGTGTCTGCCACAGGTTTGTGCTCCGGAGGACCCAGATAGGCAAGAAGAGTAGCCATTTTGTCAAAAGGTCTTCTTCCAACAGCCTTGTGGTCCCTAGAAACAGCATATTACTTAAAAGATAAGTCTTTCTTCACTCAGCGTTTTTGATTTTTGTCCAACACCTTTTCTGTACCTTGAATATGCTAACTTTTTTTTTTTTCAAGCAAATTGTGTTCACTGAAGAAATGAGAAAAATGTGTTACACAAGTAACAAAGATGTGACAGACACTGACATACAATTTTATGCTTGCACAAACGGTTGGCAGCAAAGAGGGCAACAGTATTATGCACGTTTCCCAACAACAGGTTGTCAGTAAGACAAAAAAGCTTCCAAAGGTGAGATTTTCAGCCATGACATTCTTCTCAGTAACTGCTACAAAAGCATTTGAAAGTATTTGAGAATATTAATTTCCCATCTGCAACTCCCTTCTCCATAGCACTTCCAAAATCTTACCTGTTGCTGGAAAGGTACTGGCCAATTTTCTCCTGATTGTTCCACAGTAGTCGGTGCAGAGCAAGCACGTTGCCATCACTGATGAAAGACAGGCTGTGGTTGACAGTGTCGCTAGCTGGGCAATCAGATGCAATATCAAGGAAAAACCTGAAGTTGAAAACCAGTTATTCCCGTAAGCATGGAAGGGAAGGGAAAGCAGCTGAGTAGTGTTAATGCAAGTTAAAAGGCTATAAAGCATACTTTCTGCTTACTCGTTACACATGATAAAGACTTTTTGCCTAAGTTTCCAAAGCGCCTACCTTCGTGCTGCATCAAAATTACTTTTGACAAAATCATTAAAAGGCCGCATGTGTTCTTCTTTCGTAAAGAGGACGTGGTTGGCAATGCTCTGAAGTATCTAAATAACAGAAAGACAGATAAAGCCATGTATAAGTTTAATGTATCAACTGTTATGGTTGCCAGTGTAACTTCATCGTCAAAAATACCCACTTTAATTTATTGTGAAACCTCAAAACAAAGAGAAGCCATACAAACCAACAAATACAGAATACTTTCATGACACTTCCAAAACATTTTCTTCTATGGAACTATTAGAAATAAGTTCACTTATTTAAGAACTTTAATCAAGTTTACAACAGGAAAAGAAGCAGTCTTTCAAATACACTATTTAGTCCTACTATTTCTTCTGGAAACGATACAGACATATCTAAAGGCAGTAGCATATGCATACATAAAGGAAATTATAATTTCTCAACATTTAAGATGGGTAACATACACAGGCCACAAAGGTTACACACCATCATTAAGCTTTCATTTATTTATTTATTAGCAGGAAAATGTACTAAATGACACAAACCTAGAGATTAAGGACAACAAAAATGACTTCTTTAGAGTATGAATTTTTAGTATGAATTTTTAATCAGTGTCTGGCTACAAAAATTCTCACTATTCAAGAAGTAATGTTCGTTTCTTAATTTATTTTTAAGTAAGGTTAGAAGCTCAAGTGAAAGATGCCAGGAAGCATTCTGTTCTTTTACACCCAATTTGGAAAAATGTTTCTTCCATACAGACCTTTCCCCGTGATAGACTGTTGTGAGCGATAACATTCTTTTGATGTATAATCATTGCATAGAAATTACAGTTTAAATAAACAGTCTTTGCTACAAATAACTACAAGTTGAACTACATTTTCTCGTAACTATTCAATCAATGAAAGAAATCAAATCAGATAGAACACCTGGTATGACCAAATAAAAAATATATGCTGATTCACCTTTGACATCAGTTTCAACCCCCTTTCAATTCTTGGTGGAGGCTTTTTGTCTAAAATCCCTGCCTCGTAAGGGGAGACGATGGCAGGGTTGATGAACCGCAGGAACATAGCGCTTCCGACCGCTCCAATGCTGTTCTGAGGAAACCGCTGGCTAACAACCTATAAAGTTGAGAATTATAAAGAAATATTTTTGCATTAAAGAAAGGAGAAGAAAAGTTGAAAAAAAGTCTTGTATGTATTTCAGTTTTAAGCACTCTTTC